AATTCTCCTGCAAACCCCCTGACCTATCCCCTCAATACTGGAGCCAGAGCTTACTCGCAAGCTTTGCCCTCTGACAAATCGATGTTCCCGGTGCAGTTACGTGATTCAAAACCAAGAACGAGCACAGTGTCAGAGGCAGTATGCAGGGCATCCAAAGGACAGGCCATCAGTTAGGGTGTCCCGTACAGACAAAAGAACATCTATATCTCCTTGGCCGCCTTTTTGGCCCCAGGAGAATGCCCCAGTTGCTTTCCTCCTTTTCCACCCCTTGCAAGAAAGGTTTCGAGCAGCCTCGGTCTAGATTTTCAGACAGAGGAGGAATAGAAACAGAATCCCAGGAGAACCCAAAGCAGGGTGAGTGAATGTATTGGGAGAGCCGATTAGATTTTTTTTAAAAAAATCAAAACAAAAACAGGATTTCTACTTTAGTGAGTATGACTTCTCCTTTTTTTAAAAAAAACAAAACCCTGCTTTATAAACAAAAAGGTAAACACAGAATAACTCTACACTTCTGCTCTCTTAAGCCAAATTTGCAGCCCTCTAACCAAAGCTGTTGCATTAAAAGACTGCTTTTTTTGTGTGTGTGTAAAAGAAAGAACAGTGTTCAGGGAAGGGAGGGAAATATCCTATTTCAAGGTCAGGCAAGCCAAAAAGATCGGACATTCGCCTGCACGGAGAAATGTTCTTTGGCTCTACAGTTACAGTAATAACTGTATGCATTTCCTTTCAGGAGTGTCTGGGTGCTCTGTCGTCAAATAAATGATCTTGCTTAGAGCAGGCAAGCAGAAAATCCCATGATCCAAAAAACAGATAGTAACTGTAGTCTGAAATATATGCAAAAAAATATTTATGCCCTAAAAGCCAACATGGTGTAGTGGTTAAAAGCGGTGGACTCTAATTTGGAGAGCTACATCTGGAGAACCACTCCTACACATGAAGCCTGCTGGGGGACCTTGGGCCAGTCACAGTTCTCTCAATACTCTCTCAGCCTCACCTGCCTCACAAGGTGCCTTTTGTGGAGAGAGGAAGGGAAGATGATTGTAAACTGTTTTGAGACTCTTCAGGGTAGAGAAAAGTGGGGGGATTGGCTCCCAGAATAGTTTACCAGAAACATCTCATATTTTTAAATTAAAGACAGTTGCTGAAATGCTACTCTAAAGGCCTACTTTAAAGTCCTACTACTTCAAAGTCCTACATGGCCTAGAACCTATATACATAAGAACACAAGAGAAGCCAATGTTGGATCAGGCCAATGCCCCATCCAGTCCAACACTCTGTGTCACACAGTGGCCAAAAATACCAGGGGCCAATAGGAGGTCCACCAGCAGGGCCAGAAGTCCAGAACCCACTGTAATATCAAGGAATGTTGCCAAATTTCTCTTTATTGCATTTACAAAGCGTAAGTTCCTCCTCAATGTTCCTTGTGATGTCTCTTCTCCGTAATGCTTTTTGCTTTTGATTCTGTATGCTGTTTAATGGGTCTCTGACCGTAATAAAATGAATGAATGAATGAATGAATGAGAAGTCCAGAAGCCCTCCCAACTATCGCCCCCCCACCCAAGCACCAAGAAGACAGAGCATCGCTGCCCCAGGCAGAGTGTTCCATCCATACCTTGTGGTTAACAGCATTTTAATTTACCTGTTTATTCCCTTGTTCCAGAGACTTTGTCACTGGAGCTGGGATACTTCGTCACTGGAGTGGGACCTGCATTTTAATTTGTTGTTGTTGTTCAGTCGCACAGTCGAGTCCGACTCTTTGCGACCCCATGGACCAGCTCACGCCATTTTAATTAGGACCTCCTAATTCCATATGAATCTATCGGACCTTTACAATTACATTTAGGAGCCCTGCTTCAGGTGCCCCGCAAGCTGAGGCTACATAGGTGGCAAGCTGAGAAAGGGTCAAGATTGATGCCAGGATTATGGCATTTCTTCTCCAGGGAGATTTAGAGTTGCCAGCTCTGGGTTGGGAAAAACCTGGAGATTTGGGGGATGGAACCTGAGGGCAGGATTTGGGTAGAGGAGGCACTTCAGTGGGGGACAGCACCTTCCAAAGCGGCCATTTACTCCAGGTGAACTAATCTCTGTTGCCTGGAGACCAGTTGTAATTCCAGGAGTTCTCCAGCTACCACCTGGAGGGTTGGTATCCTAGGGAATGCCAGGCCTCCGGTGTTGCTGCCCACCGGCAACTCAGGCTGCCTATATTTTTGGGTTCAGAACCCAACATTGCTCTCTAAGTTCTAGTTCTGCATATGAATAATGGCATTCATACTCAATTCAATACACAGGCCTGTATCTTACTGCTCTCCCTAAACTGTGGGTGGGAGGAATGGAACAGCACGGGGAAGCAAAAGGGAGAAAAGAGAGTGTTGGGGGGGGGGGGAAGAAGCCAGCAACATTTGCCACTGGATCCCCCCCAACACAGAGACACACACACTCCTAGGGTTGCCAAGTCGTTTCTCAGCCGCAGTGGGGGACTCCCGTGTGGCTACTGGAGTGCGCGCGCACGCCGCGCGCACATCACCAGGAAGTGACGTGCACGTCGGGGTGGGGTTCCCCCCGGGGCCCAATCCGCCAGCGGCGGGGAACGGGCCTCTGGGGCAGGGATTTCCCCGCCCCCGGGGGGACCTAGCAAGCCTACACACTCCCACCCCCCAGTAAAACTATCTTTCATCAGCCCAATACATGGTTATGCTCTATGCCTAGTTCCAGTGAGAAAGACATGGAGATAGGCTTTTAAAAAGTTATGATTTTATTCTGATAGAAAACACAGCAAAGCAAAATCAGGCCTTCCTAACTTCAGAATGTTCCATCCGTGCATGGCTGATCTTTAAGGAAGGAGATTTTGCCATCCTCAGCAGGCAGCAAAGACCAACCTACAATCTAACAAAAACCAAGCATTTTTTCTTAGCCCTATAAGGGCAGCGAGTCAGGCGGTCACATTGATTTGCTGCTTCGGTATTGCTGTGGTTTTAAATACATAATATTTTTCTAGATATTCTTAGACATCTGGTCAGTGCTGCCAGCTCTGGCTTCAGAAATTTCTGGAGGCTTGGAGAAGGAATTCAGTTTCTCCCAGACTCTATGGTATACCATGGAGTCGCCCCACCCCTCCAAGGCAAAGAAAAGTAGGGTAGAAATCCTTAAAAATTAGTAAGTGACAGGAAAGACTGCACTACCCTAGAGAAAAGCAATTGAGTAAGCAACTGGAGAGAGAGAGAGAGAGAGAGAGTGTTTCTTGCTATTCTTTCTGCCAGAGGAGACCAAAAGAACCAAAGGAAGGGGTTTTTGCCCCCTAACAACAACCACAACCACAACATCTTGTTCTTGTAGACTCCACGGTGCCGGTGGCCATGGTGGTCAAAGGCCACGAGGCGCCAGAATATTTTTTATCATGTGCTTCTATCTTTCAGGGATCCGTACGCTGCAATTATGAAGAACCACAGAACAGTGAGTGCTTGAGGTCTGCAGGCTGCATCGATACATCTGCCATGTTTTAGCATCCCGAACCAAAGCACAGTTGGGACAATCCTGCTGTAGCCGTGTTCAAATAGGCCTGTGGGAATATTTTTTGGGGGGAAAGCCCAAAGAAGGTCCAAAACCCAATATTTGTCATACAGACCATTGAGCTCAAGGAGTGATCTTCAAGAGGTGATTATAACCCCTCTCCCTCGCTTGCCTGTTTGGGTCCTGCACGAGGCCTGTAGAGCCCAGGCTAGTATGATCTTGTCAGATCTTGGAAGCTAAGCAGGGTCAGCCCTTGCTACTACTTGGATGGGGGGCTACCAAGGAAGACCACTGTTGCTACACAGAGGCAGGCAATGGCAAAACGCCTCTGTTCGTCTGCCCTGGCCTGTACGGTCCAGGCGAGCCTGATCTCCTCAGGTCTCGGAAGCTAAGCAGCGTCGGCCCCGGTTAGTATTTGGATGGGGAATCACCAAGGAAGACAAGGGTTGCTACACAGAGACAGGCAATGATAAACCATCTCTTTATCTCTTGCTCTGAAAACCCCATAAGGGGTCACCATAAGTCGGCTGCAGCTTGATGGCACTTTCCAAAACCAGCGTGCTTGAATGGGGGGTGATTATGGGGGCTACTGCAGTAACCAATATACCAACCACCTACTGGATCTGTACTGCAAGGATCGCCCTCTGTTCTGGGAACCCACTGGGGTCAAATGGGTCCTGTGACATCCCCTTCTAAGAACTTAAGAACATAAGAGAAACCATGTTGGATCAGGCCAATGGCCCATCCAGCCCAACACTTGGTGTCACACAGTGGCCAAATCCCAGGAGCCATCAGGAGGTCCACCAGGAGGGCCAGAACTCCAGAAGCCCTCCCCCTGTTGCCCCCCAAGCACCAAGAATACAGAGCGACACTTCCCCAGACAGAGTGTTCCATCTATACCTTGTGGCTAAGAGCCACTGATGGACCTCAGCTCCATATGTTTATCCAATCTCCTCTTGAAGCTGTCTGTGCTTCTAGCTGCCACCACCTTGTGCAGCGGGGAATTCCATGTGTTAATTACTCTTTGGGTGAAGAAGTACTTTCTTCTAGAGTCATCAGGAGGCCCACCAGCAAGGCCAGAACTCCAGAAGCCCTCCCCCTGTTACCCCCCCAAAGCACCAAGAATACAGAGCGACACTGCCCCAGCGGAGTGTTCCCCCTAGAGCTTGTGGCTAGCATCCACTCACAGACATCTGCTCCATATGTTTATGCAATCCCCTCCTGAAGCTATCTGTGCTTCTAGCCACTCCCACTTCCTGCAGCAGTGAATTCCATGTATGACTTTCTCTTTGGGTGACAAAGCACTTTCTTCTAGAGCTAGCACTGTCCCTACAAGTGCAGCCGGTAAAACGTGCTATGATCTCCGCACCGAGGACTGTGTAGGTTGATCTTTCTACACAGGTAGCTCACCCCTCAATGCAACTTGTTTGAGCTGACCTCTGCAGTACGCCAGCCAAAGTCCTGGCAACACAGAATAATTTCACAGCTCTTACCTGATTCTCTCCTCTTCCATTCTCTTCAGATGGGCATCCCGCTGGAGCACTTCCAGAATCGCCTCTTGCTCCTCATCCGTGAGAAAGCTCAGGTCAATCATCTTGCCGGTCTCTTACTAGAAGGCAAAAGCACCTTCCACTTCTTCAAGGTGTGAGCACAGTACTAAGTACCACCGCAGTACGCCAGGTAAACACTTGGTTAAGAAGCCCCTGAATTCAGTTGTTTTCTCACTTTAACAAGGAGGTAGTACCCTTCTCTAGCCAAGAACTTCTTGATAGGATGCCACATTCCCGGATCTTTTGCATCACATGGACATTGCAGGCGAGTTTCCCTTCATGCTCCGACGGTTCATTGGATTAACTTCATGCTCCCGTCCAATGTGAGCATCACCTACAGACAAAGGGCAGAAGGGAGAAACAATTAAGCTGCAGCATTCTCAAGCGAGCCAGACCTGTAAGTGTTTGCATGTGGAGGAAGGAAGACCCAAAATAAATCACAAGGTATCAACTGTGTTGAAGCTGAGGCGCGTGGTGGCAGCACTCCAACCTAAGGTCATGTCCTGAATTTCTCTGTTCAAATTTATTATTACGGTTCCACACCAACAAGTATGATACAAAAAGATAGATAAAATATATCAAACAATATAATACACTAAAAGGATCAGAATCACAAAATAAATTTCAGTCTTAAAATACAGAGTTATAATTCTCATAAATAACAAAATTAGGGAGATCCCTGTATATCCCTGTGCTCCTAACTACTACACCAAACTGGCTCTAAAAAGAGGATATCTCATAACCCTATTTTAAACAGTACATATTCATTTTAAAAGGCATCCTGCTAAGCAGAGCTGAAAATGTTGAAGCGTTACTATTAGAACTATGCATAATCACACTTCCTGACATTTTGTGGTTGGCTTCACTTCCCGTGGCAGCCATTTTGTGTTTGTGCCCCCACCACCCTGTGTCAGAATTCCAAAGGTCCCAAAAGGCTGAGGGGCCCTGGTCTATGTTGTGTGTATGAAACAACACAGAAAAACCCAGCTCCAACACCACTCATAACACACTAAAGCAGATGGCAAACAATGATTTGCCTGCTCACATGAAACAGACAGCCAATCCCCTGTAGCAGCCATTTTGCAGTGGCATTTTCCCTCAAAACTCACCAGCTCAGGAAGATTGGACCCCCAGCATTAAGCTATCACAGCCAATAGCCTTTCAAAAGTTATAGTCCCCTTTTTAAAGCTAATGGCTGTCACTCCTTCTTGTGGCAGTGAGTTCCATAAGGCGAAATACATGTCATGTGAGGAAATGCTATTCCCCTTCTCCCCCCCCCCCCCGGGCTCGGAACCTCGAATCTACAGCTCCTATCAACCTGATCTTAAAAGTTGAACTACTATAGGGCAGAGAGAAACTCCCTCTTTCTCAATGACCATGCATAATTTTTATAATATGGCGTGAGCAGGGCCTCAAGGGAGTCAGCAGTGGAGATGAGATTTGAACCACAAACTTCCTGTCTCAGATTCAGTCAATACGTTTTCTCCAAATACAGGAGTTTGGGATGTTTGTGTAATGGGTTCTCTACTCTCCCATGAACAATTTGCTCAGAATTCTCAGACTCTTGGACAAAATTACTCCCAACCAGAGGTCATTTCGGGGGGGATCGCAGTTCCCCCAGGTGAGGTACAGGGGGCGGGGCACATGACGAAGCCCCGCCCCCTGCTTCCTGCCACCCCGCTTCCGGCCCTCATTCAGCCAGGAGGAGGCAGGAGAAGAGGGAGGGTAAGTTGCTTCCTCCCTGCCTCTCCCCACCCCTGCCTGCCTGGGGCCAGGGAGGGCCTTCGCGGGGCTTCCTTGCACTCCCGCCGGCCTTGCAGGTCCACCGCCGGGCCCCTCATGGGGCTCGGCAGTGGAGCTGCAAGGCCGGTGGCGGCCGGGACCGTTGGGGGTGGGGGGTGTGGCCTTATGACACACTTCCGGTGATGTCAGGGGGTGTGGCATATGCTAATGAGTTATGCTAATGAGTTCCCCTAGCTCTTTTTCTATGAAACGACCCCTGCTCCCAACAACACTCTGGCAGTGATCTGTTTATTGAAGAATAAAGTTGTTCCAAGCTCAGATCAGTATTGTGTCAGAACTGAGGTTCAGGCAGGGAAATCCCCAATTATAGACAGCTTAAACCAGGTCCTCCCTTTGGGTCCCATCCAATCATACCCCTCACACTTCCTGCCTAGCTTTCGCATGCTCTACACCCCCACCTGTAAATCTACCGTTAACTCATCTAAAACAGCGAAGCAAGCAGTCATCTCCAAGGTCATCCCTGTGTAGAGAGGCATCTTAGGAAAAGTTACATCGCCACTACAATATAGCTGTTCAAACTCCCAAACTCACACCCCTCCCTCATGAATTTCCCTCCCTCTGCAGGCCCCAAGTCCCCAAAACATGGCAAATGAGAATCCAAGTTTGACAAGAATCAAGGCAATATTGAATCTTCTAGATAGAATGTTATGAGGTCGAGCTGTGAACCAAGATTTTTACATAAAGGGAGAAGAGGAACAAGGCTATAGAGATAAAAATCATGAAGGGAAAGTACGCAAGAAAGTTATCTCTGCAATCCAGTAATACTTAAAAAAAAAAAGACTATCAGAAAAATATAATGCATACCACCGAACAGAACTTATTTTCAACCCCTTGCACATTCAGTTGGCTTCAAATGACCTTACTCCACCATGAAAACCCAATAGGGTACACTTGGGCCAGTCACACAGTCAGCCAAACCTACCTCACAGGGTTGTTGTGAGGATAAAATGGAAGAGGGGGAATGATGTAAGCTGCTTTAGGTGTCCACTGCAGTAATGATGGAGGAGAAGGAGAAGAAGAGGAGGAGGAGGAGATTGGATTTATACCCCACCCTTCACTACCCAAAGAAGTCTCAGAGCGACTTACAATCTCCTTTCCCTTCCCCTCTCCCACAACAGATACCCTATAAGGTAGGTGGGGCTGAGAGAGCTCTCTTGAGAACTGCCCTTGAGAAAACAGCTCTGAAAAAACTTATGACTGACCCTAGGTCACACCAACAGCTGCATGTGGAGGAGTGGGGAATCAAACCCAGTTCTCCCAGATTAGAATCCGCGCTCTTAACCATGACACCAAACTGGCAAAGTAGGATAGTAGAATAAAATTAAGAGTTAAGTACACTTCACAGTTATCTGCATTGAGACCAGAAAGTTTCCTATACCTGGCACACATATCAGAGAGTTCGTGATAGGATCCTGTCCAAAGGCAGGGTTAATAAAGCCTATCGCAGAACTAACAAGGCCTAAGGTTATCATACAAACTGCTGTTTGACACATTATATGCTGGTTAGCCGAATCGCTTCCGACATGGACAGCATTATTTCTTTTGCCCGGTTCCTTCCAGCTAGCCAATTTGCATGCATGACTTAACAACTGAAGACTTAAACCGGGCTGGAAGAAGTCCAACCACCACAAGGTTCACTAAGAATAATTCATTTAGATTACAGAGTTTCCTAAACAGAAAAAAAGAAACTTGGGGGGGGGGGAGTGTCACACGATTCAACCATCTCTGTGGACACAGTGAGAAAGAAAAATGTGCATGCACCACAGAGGCACACCCACGTTCCTCTTGTGTGTAGGCTTGCCAGGTCATAAATTGCTTATTTATTTATTTAGAACATTTATTCCACTTCTCCTGGAGAAAAAGGGTGCTTTGGAAGGTGAACTGTATGGCATTATAACCCAACCAAGGTCCTTCCCGTCCCTAAACCCTACCCTCCCGGGCTCCACCCTCAAATCTCCATGTATATCTGAATCCGGAGTCGGGAACCCTAGCCTACTGGCACCTGAAAGGTTTATGAGAGGAAACTGAGTGGGATTGGGGCACACTGGTGACCTCACATGCGGCGAAAATCCGTGAGATCAGACGCTCTAGGATTTGCAAATACTCTACGGTATTACCACTGAATTCCTGTAAATCCTAGAGTGTCCTGTGACATCTGTTTTTTTTTTACAGGCCCCACCCCCTTACTGCTCCTGGGAGTTGCCACCTACAGCCTGGCAACCCTAGTTCTGTTCTGTGATGAGCTCAGGCTCCAGGGTCGCAGGACAAGGCTTGGTAGAGAGATTTAAGGAGAGGGGCTTGCCAGCAAAACGACAACGTTGACAGCAACACATTGACATCACTCCCCATGTGGCCAGAAGTTACGTCAGTGCATTGACAGGGGATACTGGGACCACTCTAGCATTTGAGTGACATCAGTGTGTTGGATGGGGCTGCCAGGCCCCCGGCATTTCCTGCCCATCCCCCCCCCCGCTGACCAGCTGAATGGTGGCAGAGAGCACCCGCTGGCAGCAAGGAATCCCCCACCTCCACTGCGAAAATGGCAGATCCATCTGGTTCTGGTCCCTGTTGGTCAGTCTACCCTACGTGGCCATATGAACGAGAATGTTTCTTCAGAACTGCAGATACCTTCTTAATGGTCCTCAGCCAGAATCATAATGCCCCTGTAGAAGTCTATGGTGCAGCCTCATTAGCGGTCAAGGAGCCACATACCTTCAGGAACTCTAACCAAGTATACCACGCTGCCTCTTGAAAGGGCACTTGTATTATACCCCATCCTGTTACACTCTTTTCCGTATGTCTGGAAGCAAGCCCCTCCTACAGTAGTGATCAGCAACCTCAAAGAATCTCAAGGGACCGAAGGACGGAGCGGTGGCGCAGGCAGTAAATGGAGCCTGCATTCCATCTGGCCGAACTGCTTCGGCTGTTCGAGCCCCACCGTGGCCGGAGTGAGCTCCTGGCCCTATGTCCCAGCTCCAGCCCACCCAGCGGCTCGAAAGGCCGTTAAAGGGCAAGTAGACAAATGGGTACCTGCTCTTAGAGCGGGGGGGCACCAGTCCTTCGTGGCGTGGCGGCAGCGTGAGTAGCGGAGCAGTGGCAGCAGCGGCGGAGAACATGGCGGCGGTTGGCGAGCGAGTGAGCAGAGGCTGAGCCGGCAAGCGCGGAGGCGGGGCAACGCAGCAGGCCGGAGCCGATTGGACAGAGGCTGGCAGCGAGCACGCGCTGACGTGTGCTTGGCCCAGGCCCAGGAGGAGTTGCAACAGCCAAGGAAGACCTGCACCAGGAAACGTCGCCGGACTGAGAAAGACCTCCCGCAGAAAAGACCACAACAACGAAGACTCCGCCAGAGGGTGCCTGCTAGGTTAGTCACTTCCCTATGTATGTGTGTGGCCTTAGATTAGGAATGGTATCAACTGTATGATGTAAACCGCTCAGAGCTCTTA